GACTCTATTAATACTAACAGACAGCGGAGAGAGTGAGCTTCATGCACCTTTGCTGTAACTGTTTCACCTTTAGAAACACTGTTTTTTTCCCCAAACATTTTGGCATTGTAAAACCTTTGGATTTCCATAAGAATTTTAGAACTAGGTTGCTATTTTCCACAGTAAACCTGCTAAAGTTTTTGTTAGGATTTTATTCAACTCACAGGTCAATCATTAGTAAACTCACCTTTTAGCACTCTAAGGAGTGCATGCACATTTTTCTTTTAAGATGTATAATATCAGTGTTCAGGTCCAGCCCAGTTTTATTGTTATTTTCTATTTTGATATTACTTAGAATGTTACTCTTTGATAATCACATGATTACAATTAATTTTCTTGTATCAACAATGTAAACAACTTTGCAAGACTGAATACTAATCATTGAAATATTTTCAGCTAAATCCCAGATCTGTATGGATAATCACATTGTCTGCAAACTCAATTTACTTTTATTTAAAATTCATCTCTTACTTTTTTTTTATACTGAATTGTCTTATGCAGAAATTGTTTAACATTGAGTAGAAAAGGTGAGAGTATTAACTTGGTTCCTAATTCTAGAGATGAAATAACCACTTTGTTACTATTAAATATGACATCAGCTTGTGGGAATTTTGGGTCTTGTTTAGTTCTTTGAAACTTTCGAGATTATTCCATTTATCCTTAGTTAGTGAAAATATTTCACCATAGATTAAATTGACAATTTGTCAAAATAGTCTTTGGTATTTTGGTGTGTTGAAAGAAAATGCCTCCTAAAGGGAGTGGCACTGTTAGGAGCTATAGCTTTATTGGAATAGGTGTCGATTTGTGGGAGAAAGTGTGTCAATGTGTGGGTGGATTTTGAGGCCTCCTTTGCCCAAACTTTACTCAGTGTGAAACTAAGACCCCTTCCTGCTGTCTGAAAACTAAGATGTAGGACCCTTGTCTACTTCTCCAGTTCTATGTCTGCCTGCACACCTTCCTGTTGTACCATGATGATAATGGATTAAACCTCTGAAAATGTATGCCGCCCCAACTAAATGTTTCCCTTTATAAGGGCTGTCATGGTCATGGTGTTTCTCCACAGCAATTAAAACACTAACTAAGACAGGTATTGTTTTGATAGGTCTGGCCATGTTTTTTGTTTGGCAGAATTTGGAATTAGTACTTTGGGCTAGGGAAACAGTGAAATGTTTTAAGTGCTGCTTAATGGGCCATCCCAGAAGGAGCATGGAAGACAGTGGTTGTATAGATGATTTTTAACTGTGAGGGGCTGGCTCAAGAGGTTTCAGAGGAGAATTTTTTTATGTCGCCTAAAAATCATTTGTGTGATATTTTGGTGAAGAATGTGGATGCTTTTTCAACTTATTATAAAATCTTTTGACATTTTTAGATAAATTTATATATAGCATTTGTCAAATTTGCTCTCATAGACACTGGTGCTAACAAAGAAATTTGATAGTGTTCTTCCACATTGTAGTATTTATATTTAATATATTTCTACTTTGGCAAACTCATCTTAATATAGTCTTAAATGTGGATAACTCAGAAATTAAAAGGTATTTCATATAACAATACATGTTTATGTATCCATCTATCTTTTTGTTTTCTATTTTTTTTTACTTTAGTACATATTATAAACATGTTCAAGAAACATAAATAACTATCCAGAAGTTGAAGATAGTTAAGTGGAGCATGCATGCACAAACACACACACACATTTATTGTGTAGATTAAATGCAACTACTAAAAGTAAGTTATAGCTTTGGAATGATTTTGAAAGTACTTTGAAAAAAGTGAATTAAAATTATGTTAAATAAAAGACAAAAACAACATACATATGTAATACGATTGGTAATACATAAGTACACTTCAAAACTGTTGTGGGATGGTTGAGAAAATCACTTCAAAGTCACAAAACTGATAAGAAAAAAGAAAATTCAGTTTTTCCTGTGTTTTATGTATTTACTAAATAAGTTACAAATTGTCATACTACTTCTATAGTGAGTACATTAATGAGGGAGGGACCAGGAAAGGGCAAAGGGTATAAGAAAAGAAATTTAAGCCTTTAATTATTCCCTTTGCTTATTCATACATCTTAGGTCACTGGAGATATTGTCCCAAAAGAGACAAGTTCCATTAATCCTTCTAGTTATAAAACATTATAAATTCATTATTTGAAGGTAAAATTAATAGCAGAACTGAGTCGTAGATTCAAGAGGAGAGGGTAAAGCATCTTGTCTCTACATCAGGACACTTTCTGCACAATAGAGTCTTTTGTTCTAACTTTTTGACTAGAAACTTTCAAGATATCTGTTTGCTTACATTAGCTGTGGTTTCTGGCTGCTGGTATGTGGGTAAAGCTCTGGCTTCTTCTTTTCACTCTTGGGCATGCCTTTCTCTCTTCTATTCTTCTGTGTTCATTATGTTCTAAAATATAAAGTCATAGAACTAAAGATAGGTTTTTCATCTATTTTTTTTAAATGAAAAGTCTGTGGTTACTGAGTTTGGTCACCATCATCTGAAGTCAAGCAACATTTATGCTTCAACCCCCAGAGTGCTAAAGCTGGTACCCATTACAAAGGTTTGAGTTCATCGATCCATTATTAAATCAACAATGAGAAAGCAATGAAAGGAAAAAGTATAGGTTGTTTGTATATGCATGTTTGTGTGTTTTTTTTTGTGTGTGTGTGTTTGTCAGAAGGACTTAGGGAGGAAATGAATACCATCAGGGAGATAGGGTCCTAGTTTTCACTTAGCAAGGTATAAGAAATTATCCCTGTGTCATAAAATATCCCTATTGCTGTCTTTCTTCATCTTATCCACGAGTACTTCCTTTAACGGGCAATATGTTTATTCCGTCACATGACATTTTATCTCCATACCTAAATATAAGAGAATGTAGTGAAAGTGAAATTGGGATATTCACAAAAGTCAGTGTGAGATTTTAGAATTTGTTTCTTGTTGAAACAAAGGTCAATTTTCACACTCCTCTCAGAAGAGCGATTTCCTCTTCTGTCTCCCTGGGAGGCGGTCATGTAAGTTCTAACCTGAAATCTTCTATGGTAGGAATTTGGAATCTTCATGGTTAAGGAAGACACAATTCCAGGGAGTTTTCCTAGTATCATGTCCTTTCTTAGGATATTCATACATAAAGTATGGTGTTGAGTTCTGACTGCAGAGAGCCAGGATTCTGAATAGACATCCAAAAGAGCTGTGAACTCTCTACTTTCCTTAGGGCAGGTGAGGGCCAGCCAGCTGTGCAGCTCTGCAATGTGAATCTTGTTACTGGGTCACACACAGGAAGTCTGTGAGTAAGAGAGCGTCTGAGCACTTCTAACCAACTAAATGCTCCTTCACGAAGCACATTGTTTAAGTGAGAGGAAAACAATGTCTCCCCCACCCCCCAAGAACAATGTGTCTTCTTTTGTCTTTAATCACAGGCTCCATAAATTCCTATGGTTAAATAAATATATAAACAAATGGAATAATATTAACTGTGCTACAGTTCTTTATAAGCTGTTTTAAATGAGGTTTTCATCTTACCTGCAAGGCTTTCGTTGTTATTGTATGATTATATTATTGTATGTTATATGTATGTTATTGTATGTATGCAGGGTTACTTGCTGGAGGGTAACTTGTTAACCTAACTTCATTATGTATTTGCCACTAAAGGACCAACACAAACCACAGCATTATACTTTTATCTCACTCAGGTCACAATCATTAGAGGCTGAAAATAATCCATTTTCCTTAGTGTAGGTGAGGTTCCGAGCCAAGAAGTTACTCAGGATCCAGAGGCATACACTGGTGGAAGAAGGCAATGATCAGAAGCCACATTTACATTTCTCTGTGTATTTAAGACATGGGACTTCCATTTATCTTTATAATTCTGGCAGACTGACAGAAAATGAGTGTGTGAAACTACATTTATTGCTAAGGTCCAAAGTCAATGTCTAATAGCTAAAACATAGAATTTTTGCATCCTGTCTATAACTTTGCGGGGATTTTAATCTAATCATATGGTTTGAGTAAGACTCAATTCAGACAGGACCTGGCTCCTACACTAAGGACAATGATGGTCTGAAGCCTTCTTTTATTTCTCTTCATTTTTTCCATCAATTATGCTTTTGTATAGCAAGGATTTTATTTGGTCAAAACTCAAATAGCACACATCTGCAATCTATTAAGCAGTGTGAATGGATAAAACTGCTTTCAAGAATAAATGTTAGATAGAGTAGAACAAAATTAGCTGCTGGCCATCCATAGAAGGTTAAGATAAGTGCAACACAAAACAGAAGAAGAATTTTTGGTGATTTTTAATTACTGATTAGTATCCTAATTAATAATGTTAAAAAGCGCTAATGATATTGAAATTCCCGTTTGTGAGATTTTTAGTATAGAAATAAAATTTGACTGAGAAGATAGATCATGGGAATGTAGAAAGTGTTTCTATCATTGTACAGCTTCTACTTCTAAACTGAGTTCACATTCTGCCTCTGCATGTGTGTGTGTGTATGTGTGTGTGTGTGTAGATTCTAAATAAAAACAACATGCAATTCTAACTATGATTAATGAAGAGTGGAAAGCATATTTTTCAGGCAAACATTAAAAAGAAGAGTCTTATCTTCTTTTCATTTTCACATTTTGCATGCTCATATTGGAGCAATCATGTTATGTGCAATTCAAGCACAGCTTGGCCATCATGTGGTAACACAGGTTCCATAAGAAAAATGGGTGCTCTGAAATGTAACAGCTGTTTTGTTTATTATTATAAGCCAAATGTGAAGAAACAGACTGGTGGTAAGAAGCAATCACTTTTTCCCCACCTAACATGTGAAGAAATAGAGACCAATGTGATACACCACTTAACTGAATGCCAAGAGTTGATTCATCACTGGTTCTCTTTTTCCTCTTTGTTCAGTCACTGCCTTAGATAGGAATCCCTTGGTCAGGAAGCTGTTCTCACTTACTCATGGGCAACATCGCTTTACTTTTCCAGGACTACCTGTGTCATGAACATGAGGAACTACACCTTTGTGACAGAGTTCATCCTGCTGGGAATTTCCAACAGCGAAGGGCTAGAGAACATGCTCTTTGTCCTGTTCCTGGTCTTCTATGTCTCTGCCTTGCTGGGGAACCTGCTCATCTTCCTCACCATCTTGGCTTCCCCCAACCTCCACACCCCCATGTATTTCTTCCTGGGGAACCTGGCAGTGTTTGACATATTCTTCCCTTCTGTGAATTCTCCTAAGATGATGGACTGCTTAACGTGGCAGAGTTGCACTATTTCATATCAGGGCTGTGCTTCACAGATTTTCTTCTATCACACCCTGGGGTGTACTGAGTGTTTCCTGTACACAGTGATGGCCTATGATCGCTTTGTGGCTATTTGCTACCCTATGAGATACACGATTATCATGAACTACAAGGTGTGTACCCTCTTCACAGTGGGCACATGGCTGGGGGGCTTTGTACATGGGAGCATCCTCACTTTTCTTATCTTTAAGTTACCCTACTGTGGACCCAATGAGGTGGACAGTTTCTTCTGTGACATTCCTGTAGTACTGTCCCTGGCATGTGCAGACACCTCTCTAGCACAGACTGTGAGTTTTACCAATGTTGGCATTGTTGCCCTTACATGTTTTCTCCTTGTTCTCACTTCCTACACTCGTATCGTTATCTCCATTTTGAAAATCCGTTCCTCAGAAGGCAGGCGCAGAGCCTTCTCCACCTGCAGTGCCCACTTCACATCCATTCTATTGTTCTATGGTCCTGTGATTGTTGTTTATCTCCGACCTGCTTCTAGCCCCTGGCTGGATTCTGTTGTCCAGGTGTTTAATAATGTTGTCACCCCTTCCTTAAATCCTCTGATTTACTCTTTGAGAAACAAGGAAGTGAAGTTAGCCCTGAGAAAGGTGTTAAGTCAAGCAATGCAACCTTTGGGGTATAAGGAATAGAAACAATCATTCTTTAAAGTTGACCCAGGTTTTCTTTCATCAGAACTGTTGCCAAATTAGTGAGATGACCAAAGCTATTCTGCTTGGTTGGTGGGCATCCTCACAGGTAGGGTTTATTTCAGCTAATGCGTGGATTTAACCATGTAAAAAAGACTTTTCAGATTTATCCAGTGTTTTTAACTGTAATTTGCCAAAACAATGAATCTTCCTGCCTTGCGACTTCTACTGTGAAATCCACTTTTGACTGAATTCTTTTCATTTTTACATGTACGTATTGGGGTAATCAGCTTATATATAATTTTATGAAGCTGTACCTTTCTAGATACTATGGAGTATCTTATGCTCTCTTCAATTCCTCGCATCACTCCTTTCAACTATTATATCTTTCTATATTCTTCTTAGTGTCCCTTTGGTCACTCAGTTAAGCTAATCACCATTAATATGGTATGGAATTTGAAAACTGGATTGAAATAAGTAAATGCATCTCTATCCTATCAATTTGGATGAATATCACCAAATTTAGAATAAAAAAAGAATCCATGTATAGGAGATGCCACGTTCAAATAGCCTGAAGAATTTTGGCTATTGTCTGATAAGGTGCTTAAAGTCCAAGGTGTTTATTTGCTTGTTATGAACTGTGACTGGTATTATAAAAATTAAAATATGCATAATAAAGTACTCAGGCACTCCCAGGAAGCATGGGGAATTGACAGAGGATCCTGGTATGACTAATCTCCACTCGAAAGCTACTATCATGACACAGATGTTGCTGGTAAAGAAATCAATTTAATTCAGAAGCCAGACCGTGAGAATGTGGATAGGGCTCATTTTCAAACACCACCTCAGGGACGTCAGACAGCCCGATGCATTCCTGCAACACTGGGTCCATGTTCAAGGGCTACATAATAGTGTAGTTTTGTCATCAGACACACGTATTTCTTGTTTTTGTTACTGGAAATTTCATGGGTAACAATCAATTTCCTATTCTAGGCAATTCCCTCTAATTCTTTAAATGGACACAATGTTTTCCAGCAAGTTAAATACTATTTCACTTTTAACTCAAGAAATTAGCCAATTCTGTGGTTGTCTAAAGGTCATAAATATTCTTAGGATTCGTAAACTAAAAGATTACTGTGATTAAACAGTCTTGGCATCCGTCTGCTCCCTTTTCTTGAAATACTAGAATCCACACCACAATATTTTAACCATTCAAAGTTGATTTTAAAAACTGCAACATTTGTGAAAACAATACCCAAAAATGACAACTATCTAAGAAACAATTCACAGACCAGTTTGTCAGACATGTGATAGTGTAAGATGTTGCTCAAGACATTCTTGCTGGATGGCTTTACACATGATTGCAACAGCTAATTAATTTCAAGCCAAAATTCAAAGACTTATCCAACCTTGAAGACCAGTATGTGTATGGGGAAATCTGTACAGAAGGTTCATTTGAGAACCCCAAGTGTCTATTACCCTGATTTAAACGACCTCTGAAATCCAATCTCAGTACTCTGAGCCTATCCTATTCCTTTGCATTTTTTTTCTGACAGCACTCAGGTGGTTAATTCCTTTACTCTGTCTTTCTCCTCCTTATAAAATGTTTGTGTTGACGATATGTCCTTTGGCTAGCAATGACAGCATCTGCTGTGATTCTTTCTTTATGTGTCACCAAAGGTGATAATCTTCAATCTGTGTCTATAAATTGGGAGATTAAATTTTTAAAAATTGCAGTGTAAAAAATATAGAGCCAGAGTTCCTATTATATATAACCACTCATAATTCCTTAAATGCATCAGAATTATAATGAATAGACATTAAAGTATAAACAAAACTTACTTTTTATTTTTGAAATATTTCAGAACTTATTCTTTTAACATTTAATCAACTACTTTTGTGATTATACCTATCTTTTTTGATTGCCTTGATTTACCACAGAAACACTTAGAGTAAGACACATATAGAGTAAGCCATCTATGTGTTCTTCTGGATACCATTTGCTCTTCTAACCACTTTGCAAATACTGAAATGAGGTTTGAGCCACATATCTCCTTCTGTACCAGCTCTCAATTGCCCTCACCAGCTTCTTAGCTAGTTATGGGATCTTGGGAGCCCTTTCCCCATTCATGCTTTAGTTTTAAGTGGTTTTATTTTGTACAGGTCTTATGTGGGTAATCACACTGTCATGAGTTCATGTATCTAACATCCATGTGATGTCCAGAAGACAGAATTTCAGTATGCTTTGACATCCACTGGCTGTTCCATCCATTCTGCTTCTTCTTCCATGATGTTCTCTGAATTCAAGGAGTTGGGGGGAGATTGATAACAATGTTCCTTCTATATCTGATCACTCACAATCAATTTTTCTCAGTGCTTTCACAATTTATTCATTTATCATTAGCCACTGTCTACTGCAAAAAGAGACCTGAACAAGGTTGCAAATATTAGAAATCTGTGGACAGAAACACAGATTTAGCAAGCATTTTTACATATTGGCAAAGAACAGCAGTAGGTTCCCACTTGGGGCTTATGTTCCTCCCAGCCATGAATTTTTGGCTAGGTTTAAGGAACCTGGCCTGATACCTTCTTGCGAAGTAGGACTCATATCCAATCAGAAGGCAGTTAGTTATCCACCTAACAGTTGTACATCTATTTCATAGTTTGATCAGAGTATCTGTAAAGTCCATTAAATGATTAAAATATACCTAAATAAACATTAATAGTTGTCTTAAGGAAAAAACAAAAAGTTTCCTGGTAAGAAATAAGATATAAATCCAAGCATTTAAAGAAATATTAATAGTGGTATATTATAGAAAACATTTTTGCAGAATAAAGTGCACTAGTAGCTTTTATGATGTAGCGATAATACTCTAGTAAAAAGTAAATTAGGGAAGAAAAGGCTGTATTTTGGCTTACAGTTCCCAAGGGATCAAGTCCATAATGGCTGGGGATTTCATTCCCACACATTTCGTTCCCACACAGAAAACAAAAGAAGAGGGAAGACAGGAAGTAGATTGAGGCTATAACAATTCAAAATCTTCTCCCAGTGAGTAGACTTTTTCCAGATAGCCTACATCTCCCAAAGATATTAAGATCTCCACACAAAACATCACAAACTGGGGACCCACTATGTGGATGTATGAATTCATGGGAATATTTCTCACTGAAACAACAACAAAATGTTACACGATAGGTTATAGTTTTTTTTTTTCTTCCTCTTGAAACCAGTACAATTTTAGATGTTTTCCACTTTTTTCTAATCTGGATCCCTAAAGAACTGAGTAATTGCTCGCATTTGAACTCAAGGGATGGCATTCCTCCAGGGAAAACTCAGTATTTGCAATAAAGTTGTTTTACCCAAGTGGCAGGTTTGAAAACCACTAAGTGAGTACATCCTACCCTAGGGAGCACAAAAAGCAATGCAGAAATGAGAAGGAGTGAAGGAACAAAAGCAAAGATCTTCATAGCTAACTGATCTCTCTGTTCTACTCTTTCTGGTCAGGGTCACTGTGGAAACGAGTCCCATAAAAGACCCAAAGGAAACATCTATTCCTCCTCAGTGGCTGGCTAACTGAAGCTCTTACACTCAGGGCATGTCCTGCATCACAGATTCTAGGCATCATCGCTGGGTCTTAGGCTAAAAAGATGCAGCCTCCTGCTTTTCTCAGCTTCATAGCAAGGCTGTTCTGTTTCATCCCTTCCAACCACAGAGGGCAGATGTGGCCTTGGGTTTTAGCCCCATTTTTTCCATAATCTGCATTGCTGTGTAAGTGCTGGTTTACTGGAACACATTCTTCTCTTAGCTTCCTCTCTTCTGTGGTATGAGTTTCTTTGAAAGAGTAAGAGCCTGTGCTTACTTAGCTCGACTTGAGTTTGGATATTCATGTCACTTTATGTACTACTTATGATATGAATGATGACAAAGTGTCTTACAAACACTCATGTGGATAGCACACAGCCATAGCTTGGATCATGGCTTTTGGGAATACAAACTCTGTATTCAATCAATTCATAACAGTGGCAACTGTAAATAGCTTTTCCCTACACTGTGTATTATGTTTTGTCTTCTGTTCTTTCATGTGCCCACCAGATGGATTCCAGTTGTCAGTTGTACTGACTCCGAAGACAGAGGTTCAGTAGCTTCTAGTCACTGTGATTATGACTTAGTTGGAGTCTCATTATTCAGAGTATTAGAAGTTTGAATTATTTAAGAAAATACTATGTGTCTGGACAAAATTGCTTAGATATTTTATGCACATTAGAGCTTTGTACCTTCAATAAATTTAAACTAATAATTTCCCCACAGAGAATAAAATTAAAATCAGAGATATTTGATGAAACTGTCTGGATTCAGAATAAGGAGTTGATGTGACATTTGAACTCTGATGTATGCAATTGAGACTGTTACTCTATACCAGTGGTACTCAACCTGAAAAAAGCCAAGCAACCCTTCCCAATGGTCACATTTCAGATATCCTGCATACCAGATACTTATATTATGATTCATAACAGTATCAAAATTACAGGTATGAAGTAGCAATGGATATAATTTAATGATTGGGGCTCACCACAAAGGAGAAACAGAGTTAAAAAGACACAGCGTTAGGAAGGTTGAGAACTGCTATTCTATACTGTCAATTTCGTATTATATCCTTAATTCAAGTTGACCTCTTTATGTTTTAGGGGAAAGTTAAAAATAAATAAATGGCCAATTTGTTATTGAATATTAATTAGACAAATTAGTTGAAATCTCATATTGAAAGTTCTTTCTAATACAAAGGGTCCCAGTGTGATCTGCAAAGGCTTTAATTTCTTTGGGAAGTTCAGCTAAGTAGGTCCATCCTTTTGTCTTTCAGAAGTAAGTAAACTTGAAAATGAGGAATTGCACTTTAGTAACTGAATTCTTCCTGATGGGAATCCCACATACAGCTGGGCTGGAAAAGATGCTCTTTGTTCTCTTTCTGGCCTTCTACCTGCTCACACTCCCAGGAAACCTACTCATTCTCCTGGCCATCCTCACCTCTTCCAACCTTCACACGCCCATGTACTTCTTCTTGGGAAACCTGTCAGTGCTTGACATTTTGTTCCCTTCGGTGAGTTCCCCAAAGATGATGCTCTACCTCACTGGACACAGCCACACCATCTCTTACCAGGGATGTGCCTCCCAGCTCTTCTTCTATCATTTCCTGGGCTGTGCTGAATGCTTCCTGTATACTGTGATGGCTTACGACCGCTTTGCAGCCATC